AAAGATAACACAACATGCAGTTTTTAAATGAAGGTTTTTATTATTAAGGGAAAACAAAATTCAAAACTACATGGCCCTGTGTGAAGAAGTGTTTGCCCCCTAAACCTAATAACTGGTTGGGCCACCCTTAGCAGCAACAACTGCAATCAAGCGTTTGTGATAACTTGCAATGAGTCTGTTACAGCGCTGTGGAGGAATTTTGGTCCACTCATCTATGCTGAATTGTTGTAATTCAGCCACATTGGAGGGTTTTCGAGCATGAACCGACTTTTTAAGTTCATGCCACAGCATCTCAATAGGATTCAGGTCAGGACTTTGACTAGGCCACTCCAAAGTCTTCATTTTGTTTTTCTTCAGCCATTCAGAGGTGGACTTGCTGGTGTGTTTTGGATCATTGTCCTGCTGCAGAACCCAAGTTCGTTTCAGCTTGAGGTCACGAACAGATGGCCGGACATTCTCCTTCAGGATTTTTTGGTAAACAGCAGAATTCATGGTTCCGTTTATCACAGCAAGTCTTCCAGGTCCTGAAGCAGCAAAACAGCCCCAGACCATCACACTACCACCACCATATTTTACTGTTGGTATGATGTTCTTTTTCTGGAATGCAGTGTTACTTTTACGCCAGATGTAATGGGACACACACCTTCCAAAAAGTTGTGTGTCAATCATCTAGATGTTTTCTGGCAAAACTGAGATGAGCCTTTGTTCTTTTTGCTCAGCAGCGGTTTTTGTCTTGGAACTCTGCCATGCAGACCATTTTTGCCCAGTCTCTTTCTTATGGTGGAGTCATGAACACTGACCTTAACTGAAGTGAGGCCTGCAGTTCTTTGGATGTTGTTGTGGGGTCTTTTGTGATCTCTTGGATGAGTCGTCGCTGTGCTCTTGGGGTAATTTTGGTCGGCTGGCCACTCCTGGGAAGGTTCTCCACTGTTCCGTGTTTTTGCCATTTGTGAATAATGGCTTTCACTGTGGTTCGCTGGAGTCCCAAAGCTTTAAAAATGGCTTTATAATCTTTTCCAGACTGATAGATCTCAATTATTTTCTTTCTCATTTGTTTCTGAATTTCTTTGGATCTCGGCATGATGTCTAGCTTTTGAGGATCTTTTGGTCTACTTCACTTTGTCAGGCAGGTCCTATTTAAGAGATTTCTTGATTGTGAACAGGTGTGGCAGTAATCAGGCCTGGGGGTGGCTAGAGAAATTGAACTCAGGTGTGATAAACCACAGTTTTAACAGGGGGGCAAACACTTCTTCATACAGGGCCATGTAGTTTTGGATTTTGTTTTCCCTTAATAATAAAAACCTTCATTTAAAAACTGCATGTTGTGTTTACTTGTGTTATCTTTGACTAATATTTAAATTTGTTTGATGATCTGAAACATTAAAGTGTGACAAACATGCAAAAAAATAAGAAATCAGGAAAGGGGCCAACACTTTCACACCACTGTATATATATATATATGTAATTATAGATGGCACGGCATTATGATTTTGGCTTTGCGGTTTATTATTGTTTGTAATTTGTTTCCATCAAGCGAAGCCTTTTCTGATAATAAGCAGTGTTTTATTTGAAAAACGATGCAACGTGATGTCATATAGTTACGGGCGGAGTATTATTTATCTGCACTCTATCTCAAAACACCACTCCAGCGCCGGAAAATTCATTATCATCCTACGCCTGTTATTGTCAGGAGACATTCACCCATGTACAGGTCCTAATGGGGAAGTTTGTCCTGGTTTTAACAAAGGTCGAGTTTTGGATTCCGGATCGTACTTGGCTGAACGTAACTCAGGTGCAAGCGTCATGTAGTGATATGGATCCAAATATTAACAGCATAGCTAATAACATATCCTACCTTTGTTTGAGGACTATTTTACCGTAAAAGGTTTACATTTTGTGCATTTAAATGTAAGAAGTTTATTACCTAAGATCGATGAAGTAAGGTGCTTACTTTAGAATTGTAAAGCGGGGATTTAGAAACATGGTTAGATTCGTCAGTAACTAATAATGAAATTAGAACAGACAATTATAATGTTATTAGGATGGATTGTAAAAGACAATGAGGTGTTTGTATTTTTATTAGATCGGATATTCATTTTAATGCGTTAGATATTAATGTTGAGCAAGAGTTATTGTTTATGGATTTATTGTTGCCTGCGACTAAACCAATGCTGTTTGGAGTATGTTATCCTCCACCCAATCAAAACTATTTTTATGAGGGACTTGAGTATGTTTTAAAAAATTATAATGACGATCTGACAAAAGAATGTATTATTATGGGTGATTTTAACACATAATATATCTAAAAGAATAGGGGACAATTTCAATGCTCTGCAGTCATTATGTAAATTATTCCATTTAACCCAAATTATAAAGAAATCTACCAGAGTTTGGGAAGGTTGGGAAAGTACCATTGATCTTATTTTGGTATCGGATGTAAAGTATATTTCCCAGAAAGGAGTAATTGAATATGGTATTAGTGATCATAATATTATCTTTTGTACTAGAAAACGCAGTAAATTAAAATTTTGTAATCATAAAACAGTACGAATTAGATTGTTAAAAAATTTAATACTGAAGATATAATATTGAATCAGCGGATCCGTGTATGAGCAGATATATTAAGGATCCGCTGACAGACGCAGCTTTCAAACGCTCCTGTGTGTATCTGTGTAAGTGCTCGCTGAAGAGCGAGAAGCGATAAACAGTGTAGCCAATCACAGA